AGTACTGAACTCTGATTAAGAAACCAGTTTCAAGACCATTGCACGGCCATCAACATCCCTGTCACCAGGGACGGAGCTCCGCCCACCGAAGTAGGCTCACATGTACTTGAGTCGGACAGGTCTTCCCGATAATGACGGGGACATGTTACGTTAACGCTCTCCTGTCCGTTGTGAGCTAGTAACATCGCCCTATATCGGTACACCTTGTTCATGTGCAGCAATGTCTCAGAATTCATAATTTATTTCATATTGTTAATCATGTCTAAATTGCTTGTATTCATATTTTATTGTAATACTTAGACTAATTAGCGATGCCTCTTCAGTTGAATACAGTAAACCCTCTTTAAAGCTGTTTCTACAAATAAAAAAAAAAGTCAAATAAATAACAATTTAATAGATTCAAAGTGTTATTAAAATTAATTAAACTTTTTTCTGAGATAATCACAACCTAAAGAAAAACACATATCAGTATAATTAAAAAGTTTATCATTAATAACCACAACTTAGAAAAATCAATCTTAAAATATGATTAACTTTTATTTTAGATTATTCTTTAGAAAGAGTGACTTACCTGACCGTCTGGTCCACCACAAAGTGATGAATTTGATTATCATCGGTCTTTATATACCCGTTATACTGACTGTGAAAATTCTTTAATTTGATTGGATATTTAAAAAAAATGTTAACCCCAAAACTGATTTGATGCATTAGATGGTAATGACCGCTTCCGCGAGAAGACGCTTTTCCGGTGTCTCGCTTGAATTCTCTTGCTTCACGTTGCTATATACAGGGGTCATGGATAAGCGTGTATGTTTCTTTTGTGTGACACACATTTTATGAATATTAAGGACAATCATGAATAAAACTTTGTAACTTTAATTTGGATTAATCTTTTGACCGGTATGCCATATCAAACTTATGAAATGTATGTCGAAAACTATTGACACATTGCTCATTTTACTTTTCATTTTACTTTTCATTTATTGTCAATTTGTCACTGTTTTAAAATGATTGAAATGTTGTTAAGGGTTAAAGATCCGCTGTGAGGATTCTTGATCATTATAAAGTTCAAGTTCTGACACTGATGCAAACAGCTAGATAGTTTTACAAATAAAATGTCAAAATAAGCACGTTTAAAAAAACCAATATGGCGTCTAATTTTTGATTTTAAACCAGTTTAATCTTGTCCATAATGCTTGTCGTGACATGTTTACCTGTATTCTATAAATAGAAGTGGCGTTATTAACCAATACAACACACATTGCGTTCACCTGTGTTTCGCTTGACTGCAACTTGATCAAAACAATAAAATAAATGCATCGATCTTTTCTAATGTTTTGTTTAGTTTTATGTAAAATCCATATTACACAGCGACATTTTGATAAATAAATTAAAACATTTCAATTTACCTCAAATACCCAAGTGATAAGAGGTCACAGTCAAGGTGGAGTCTACAGTCAGGGGGTAGTTCACAGTCAAGGTGGAGTCTACAGTCAGGGGGTAGTTCACAGTCAACGTGGAGTCTACAGTCAGGGGGTAGTTCACAGCTAAGGTGGAGTCTACAGTCGGGGGGGGGGGGGGGGTAGTCCACAGTCAAGAGGGGATATATGTATTTACTAATAATTGACACTTGTTTAACTTTTAATTGATGATTCATAATTAATTTTTTAATTAAATTCATAATTAATTTGTTAATTTAATTCATTAGATGACGTCATGGGTATCCTCACACGCTGGGAGGATACCAGGAGGATCCTCCATAGTAACTCTATGGGAGGACACTGGTCCAGAACCCTGGTTTTTCCCCTACTGTCATGATCGGGCAGACAGAAAAGTCCGTTGATAATTCAGTGTTTAAATAATGGCCTAACAATTAGTATGAAAAACATCAGTCAGCATTCGACTTGATGATGAAATGTATATGCTGACAAAAAAAATTGATAAACATCGATATTATTTCGGGTTATTGAAACAACAAGATAATTTTTTTTTACCCACATTTTTTTCTAAACAACAATCTGCAGTAATAAAGAAATAAAGAAAGAAAGAAAATACTAGTACTATTCCAATTTCGATGTTTCGATTGTAAGATTATTTTATTTTTATAACAAAATAAAAAGAGACTATTGCTTGGTAATAAAGCCTCATAATTACCATCTCACTACGTACAACATTGCAAATATTTTATTATACATGCATAATTCAGAAAAATAACGTACAGTCAACAAACAGTGTAAATATCAATTTCAACTACAATTTTAATTATTGTGGCAGACTATCCGGAAGGCACTGGATGTTGATTTTACATAAACTGTTTTTAGAGCGATCAAAATAACATCCTTTGAATCTGAACACTGGAATGTTTTTTTTTTGCCTTTTGTTTAAGAAACTTCCGCCTCACTGTCCGTCTCATCAGTTTTGGAAGTTTTTCCAGCATACCACTTATTAGCGTAAATGGCAGCAACATTCATATACAGAGTAGTAGAGTTTCTTTTTCAGGTGAATTCGCTCGCGTGGCGCAGTGGTTGGGGCGTTTTTCTTTAGAGTCGCTGAGTAAGAAGTTGATACTTGGGTCGCGGGTTGAATCCCACTGCGGGACGTGGAGACCGTCTTTCGGATGAGATGGATTTAACCTAGGTTTCCAGTAGCAGTAGTTACTGGCACGCACGAAAAAGATCCATCACTGCGCAAATGCCGTAAGTGTCGAGAACAGGTCTAAATTTGCAGTCCTCCACCAGCAAGTGGTGGCGTCTCAATATGAGTGAAAAATTCTCGAAGGGACGTAAGACAAACAAAGAAAATTTCCAGGTATATTAAAATCGGTTAAGATGTTAATGCATTTTCCTCCATGTTTTCCTGGGCGTTCGATACTGTAAAATTCCAGTTCCTACAAAGCTTTCCGTAAATACAGCTTTAACAGTTACAAAAAGTATTGGAGGTAAAGTTTTAGCTCACCTGATCAGAAAGCTCAAGTGAGCTTTTCCGATTACAATTTGTCAGTCCGTCTGTAAACTTTTCACATTTTCAACTTCTTCTCAAGAACAACTAGGCCAATTTAACATAACTTGGTACAAAGCATCCTTGGGTGAAGGAGAATTAAAATTGTTAAAATATGAAGGGCCAAGCTCCTTACAAGGGGGAGATAATCAGGAAAAGACAAAAATAGAGTCGGGTCATTAAGAAAAACCCCTGCTGACGGATTTTGCTCAAAAAAAATTTACTTACACAGTCCAAGACTTATGAACATGGTGTGTAGCGTTTACACTAGTAAAAAATTATGCAGATTCCAAAACGACGGGTGATGGTAAATTGCAGAAAATCATGTTTTTATCCTTGTTGATGACATCAATCCCTTCATCAGTGCTGAATGAAATATGGAGAATATAATAAATGGTAATCAAGTTCAAAAGACTAGTGAAACAATACAAATTTGGAGCAGCGCAAACACGGACCTCTAAAAACATCAGAGGTAGGATCAGGTGCAAAGGAGGAGTAAGCATCCTCTATCGACCGGTCACAACCGCCGTGTGGTATGATAAGGAAGGCAAACAAAAAAAATCCGTAGAAAGTTCAGTGTGAAAACAATGGCCTAACAATCTGTATGAAAAACGTTGATTGACTTGTTGATATTGTCAGTCAGAAACTCAAGCATCTTTAAAATATCAGTTTCGGAGTACTTCTGTGTACAATGTTTTTATACAAAATACTTTTCAAATGACCAATGAGAAGTAAACTCAACAGATCCATTTTAGGTCACCTGAGACATTCGGGTGACCTATTGCTATTTGCTATTCCTATTTGTTTTTGTCCGTCATCTTTCGTCGGTTGTAAACTTTTGAATATTTTCAGCTTCTTCTTTGGAAACGCTGAACCATTTTAACCAATTTTGGAATATAGCATCTATGGGTAAGGGGTATTATGAAAATTATGAAATGGCCTCTGACCCCCACCCCGGGGGCTGAGGGGTGGGACTCAATCCATCAAAATTAATGCAATCTTTAAAACTCTAAACATCAAGAAGTCAAACTATTGGCATGATTGTAATAAACATTGAGTCATCTACCAAAATAGTGAAATTCATGGCCCCAAGGTCATGACCAGGGGTTCAAGTGCTAGGGCGGGGCTCTGTTGAAAATGCATTATTTATTAAGAAATCTCCTCTGCTCCTGGGTATTTAGAAAACAAACTTAATGCATAATTATTATGACCAAGGGTGCCTCTTCTTAAATAGCGATTTTCATGGCTCCTGGGTCAGCGGTTCTAGATCTGGTGTTAGGGCGGGGCTCTAATGAATATAATAAAAATCTTAGGAAGGTCTTTACCTCTGTCCATGAGTATTAAGCAAACAAACAAAATACAATAATATGAATGTAAATGTATAAATTTAAATGTGCCTTTCCTCTGCTCCTTGGCATGTAGGAAATAGAGTTCAAAATTGTAATGTGAAGCAAATGAGATTTACTCCCCTTTACACAGGAAAAATGTCAACATGTGTTAAACATATGTTAAACATGTGTTCAACATATGTTTTTACACATGTAAAACACATAAAAAGAGCACACATGTATAGGGTGTTTATTTTTACACATGTTCAACATATGTATAACATATGTGAAAATAAACACATGGTATATTTATACATATAAAACATGTGTTGAACATGTGTAATATACACGTTTTACTTTATATGTGAATTACACATGTATAATATTACTGTTGTCCTTATAATCATTTTTACTTTTTTCTTGTCTTTCAATACAGTTAATTTAATCATGCATGGTGATTGAATAATTTGTCTGCAGTAACTGTTAGCTGAATTAGAAGGTCTACATCTTGGTTGGTTCCTTGTTGAACAGAATACAATGACACATCAGTGTATTACAGGGTCAGCTCTGCTCATGCAGTCCATCTTTAATTATTTTCCTTGAATGGATTATATTACAATAACAAAATACATATATTGGTTTCAAGTTCTTTATTTCATGTACCAAATTATAATTTCATTTCTCTCTATCCTGCTCCTACAATTTAAAAAAGTGAATAACTTAATAATTTAGAAAAATAGATCTTTTGAGTCTTTTTTAAATCTTTGTTTAAACCAGTCTGATTAAAACCAGCCCCCCTTCTCCTTTCACTCGTCAGGGTCTGACAGGCATCGCAAGGAGGTCATCTTCACACGACCTCTACATTTGCATGCGATCAAAAAATATCAACCAATCATAAAAGTGCTTTTATCTGTTTTACGAGCGGGTATAGCTCTTAAAAATTGGAGGTAAACAAGAACACAAGCATGGCCACGTGCGGAGATATTGAAAACATTATCGGAAGCGTTCTCTCCAAGTTTAATATTAAGGAACTGAAAAAAGAACAGCGTCAGTTATTAGATTATCTTCTTAGAGGCGAAGATTGCGTGGCTGTTTTGCCAACTGGATACGGAAAATCACTACCATACCAAATCTTTGCACCTATATATCACCAATTACGGGACGAGAAAGCTGTCGTTTTGGTGTGTTGTCCCCTCATTGCTCTTATGGAGGATCAGGTGCAGCGGATATAGAAGACTCAGTTTGTATCCGCTGAATATATAGGTGAGTCATTTAAAACCACCCGACATCTATGCTTGGGATCCAGATTGACCTGCTACAGAACATAGCATGTCCATCGACATTCAGCTGTTATTTACAGTTGAAAATAAGTCATATTACCCATCATGATACTGTCGAAAACAATGACATGCTGATATTGATGTAAATTTTAAAAAATACATTTACAGAACGTACACATAACCTTTCCCGGCCACTGTAGTTTTTTCTATTACTGTTTGACACGTCACATGGAAACGCCTGTATTTTGTATAACATTGAAATCCAAACGCGTAAAACCTTGCCATGTTGCAGAGTTAAATATACATATAATATTTATGTTCAAACATGTTTTGTACACTACATTTATTTATATATATAGTAAAGCCAAAAAAAAAAATAAATAATAGTCTTGTTTCCTGCTACCAGCCTGAAAAAAAAATAGGGTAGGTAGGTAGGATAATTATATATATATATATATATATATATATATATATATATATATATATATATATATATATATATATATATATATATTTTCCAACTGCATTTTTTGGATATGAATTAATACAAAACCAAATTAAATATCTCATAGGTCAATATTATTTTTAAAAATTAAATTTCATGTCTTTTGATGCACAACTCAAGTGGTATTTTACGAAAGTCCATATTTAAAACATACAATTTCATGAAATACCACTTGAGTATATATTTTTTTTCAGTTTTGGAACATGAAATTCCCAATTTTTTTTTTCCTACACTGAAAAAAAACTTTAGGGTCGGGTGCAAAAAAAAATAGGGTCGGTCAGGTAGCAGGAAACAAGACTGTTTTTTTTTTGGCCTAACAGAATTTGGAAAATGAGAATGCTGAATTTTCAATTTTGCAGGTAGCAAAGCTGACTTTGATCTGAAAGCACACAACATTGATGTGGTATTTGCATCCCCAGAACTCTTAGTCGGAAGCGAAACATGCAGAGAGGCTATACAATCTTTGAATGTGAAAGTCATAGTCATAGATGAATTTCACACCATTGCTACATGGTAAGTAATATGATATAAAAGAAAAACAAAGTTTTTAATAGAGTGTTCTTAATTAAGAAATTATACAAATACTGATTGAGTGAAATGTTAACCATATTTATTACAAGTAAATGGTGAATAAGTATTTAATTTTATGTTGCTCCTTCTATGAATAAGTGACAAGCCCCTTACTGATAATATTTATATACAAGTACCGATACTAGTATACCGGTATTACAAATTAAAGTAATAGTGCCCATGCACCGGGGCACATGCCCAATTTAAACTAAGCATTTTAATTCTCTATAATTATATCTATGCTCTGAAGGAGAAGGGGGTATACTGTTTTACCTTGTGTGTCTGTCTGTTTGTGTGTCTGTCCGTAACAAGTTTTTCATCACAGTTTTCTCAGCAAGTACTCATCGATGCTTGAAATTTCAGAACAGTTTTTTTTGTAAAGGCATGCCATATGGTGGGATACATTTTTCCATGAATCAGATGTCAACTTCCTTTTTTAATATCTGTGCATGACTGTCCGTACCATGCATATAATAAATTTTCGTCTCAGTTTTCTCACTTACTATTAGTGACTATTCAGTCACATTACAGCGGGGGTATTACTAGTGAGTTTTGGCTCAGACTTTTTCTTTATATATATATATATATATATATATATATATATATATATATATATATATATATTACATATTTTATGTATCAGGGGTGCAGTTGACAAAAAAGAAGAGGAATCCTTTAGAAGGTGGTTCAGACATATAGGTGAACTCAGATCCTTGTTCCCGACAGCAGCTATGTTGGCATTAAGTGCAACTTGTACACAAAAAATGTTGAAGAAGATTTTGAAAGTGTTGAACATGACAGAATGTCCTAACTTTGTTTCTGTGTCTCTAAATAAAGCAAATATTAAGTACATATTTAAAAAAAAATTGAACACAATGTGGAGTCATCAATGTTTTGGCTGGTTGAAGGACTTTTGAAATACAAAGAGAAATTTCCAAGGACACTTGTGTATTGTAATTCCATAAAGGATGTTTCTCTCATTTACAATTACATAATTTCTGAGGTTCCAGAACTGTCAAGACACATAGAAATGTTCCATTCAGAGACAACTAACGAGACAAAACTAAGAGTAATTCGTCAACTGACTCAAAAAGAAGATTTCATGTTGAGAGTTGTTGTCGCGACAAGTGCCTCGGGAATGGGTGTGGATGTTGTGGAATGTCATAGTGTTGTTTCGTATGGACCCCCACCAACCCTGGTGGACTTGCTCCAAGAATGTGGTCGAGTTGGACGAGATGGTAAAGACTGTTGCAGTTATTCTTCATCACTCTTATCAATACCAAAATATGGATGAAGAAGTGAAGACAGTAGTAAAATCAAGCAAATGCTGGAGAATGGCTATTATGACAAACTTTGTTTCAACTACTGAACTTACTGTAATTGGTGAATTGGCAATTTCATTTTAATACGTAGATAATCTGTCATCAGATACCTTAATAAAACTTTCAGAAAATTGAATGCAACAACAAAACTGTAGAGAAATTAATTACCCTTTGAGTACATCCCCCATTCATTAAAATGAAACCTGTCAAGTACTGAAGAACCGTCATTTCTCTATTCCGGGCATGCAATGCACTTGCAATTGTGTATAGCATCTGAGTACGGCTTCTGTATGTTTGAGTAGATGGCTTGTCTGTGACAGCATGTGAAACAATATAAAGTAGTTTTGGAGCTCTTAGTTGCAGTTCATTTTCAAGTTGCTCCCAAGAAAACTGAAATATCCCTTCAAAGCTGCGGTCTTGAAGAATGCTGCCCGAGAACCTTTTGCAGAGTTTTCTACATTCATCTGCCACTAAAGAGGCTGCTATTTCAATTATTTCATCAGGATTTGTCAACTTGAGAATATTTAGTATGGTTTTGGTTGCACCTTTTTCCGTGAAAATAGCTTTGCACATGGTTTTGAGATTAGGATCAGCAACAAAACGCGACTTTTTTCCACTCTTGTAAAATATTGAAATCTGTGAGTAAGAAAAATTATTGTTAATGATTTTGGGAAGAAGACAATAAGAAAATATTTTACAAAGGTTATCCTAAAAAAATTTACTTGACCAATATTATTTGAAAGTTTACATATCCATGATAACACACAAATCCTGTTTAAAACCTCAGAGTTAATGGAAACGTGTCGCCTTGTAGTTATATTACATGCCACCATTCCGAAACAGTACTTTACATCTATTTTAATTTTTTCATTGTTTTTCTCTTTATTCGTTCAGGCCTTTACATACCTCAATTTTATTTTCATAGCATTCTTCCATGTTTTCCTTTCCCAAAGTATTTCTCTTGGTCTGCTCTTGTTCTTTAACATTTTCATCACTTTCATTCTGAGGAAATTTTACACAAGTCTTAATCACCATCATGATTGTTCTTGTGATCTTCAGTCAACAACATTTTTATTATAAATCCAAATGGGCAAATAAATAAAACAAGGCATTTACCGGGATATTTCCTGTTTTTTCAATACTGGATGGAAAGAGTGTCCTTTTGGTTGGTTGCTGCTTTGGAGCAATGTTTTGTGGAATATTCTGCACAAAGTGTTATGGATATACACATTATGAAAATTAATCACCTAAAATAATATTATATGAACCCTGTTATAAGTATTAATACATGTAATACTATAGTAATCCTACATACAAGTATAAATGTATTTTAAAACTTAAACTTGTTCAATATCTTTTTGTTTTTGTTCATTCTTCTTCTGTATAAAGTAGGTATGTAGTGAATGAAGTCTTATGTATGTATGAAGTCTTATCATTAAATCTGATACCGGTAAGTTCCATTCTTCATATCATTTGATTTATTTAATACATATTTGGAAATAGTAACTAGGATTCATGTATGTAGACTACAATTGATTTTGTGAGTGTATGTTTAGATCAAAAAGTAATACATATTTACTATATAAAGAAAGTATTTAATTTTTCAGCCCAAAGTATAATAAAAGTTCCAACATCCTACTCAGCTTAACAAATGTTACCTTCCCCTGTGAATACAGATAGAAATTGAGGACATTTATCTTTGGTCAACAATCTAATTTACAGCTTGATTACCTCCAAAATTTATGACCTCTCCAAATGACTTAAGTTTCACAGGTGAATGCACATGCAATGTTCCAAGTGGTGCACGTGCACACTGCATTTTCACAGGTTTCACACTGATTGGACTGTTGATGAGTCTCTTCTTAATCATTGAAATCCTGCTAGGAGATGGGACCAATAGAGAAATATGACTGCTTGTATTTGTGTAGCTCTGAACCATCTTTGCTTTACGGCTAAAGGAATAAATATACCAAAAAAATCACTTTTTTGTATAAGACCAAAATAGCTAAAACTTAAAGAGGATGGCTTTTTTGGGCATGTGATTTGAAGGAATCATGTGTATGAAATGTTTATTGTTTAAAGCAATATGAGCTGATTTTTGAGAATTTTATTTTGCTGTTAAAATGTGCTATTATGATAAATCTGTATGTAAATTAAACCTTTATGATCAATTAGACTAAAATAAAGTAATAAATTGTTTCATAAGAAAGATTTCTGCACAATGGAATGTATAGTATTATATAAGAAATCAATATTGTACAGGATGACAATAATGATTAATAGAATAAAAGAATTGGGAAAACATTATTACTTTCTAACTTATCAATTTTGCAGAAATACAACATCCAGTTTCATTTTCTCACTCAGGGCAGCAAAAGATCAAAACTAATTCTAAAATTACAAACCTGTATCAATTTTTCAGCTTACCTTCAAGCAGTCCTAAACAAAAAATGTTTTTTGGATGATTTTTAGTTCCTCTCCAATCTCCACCCTCAAGAAATTTTTTAAATAAACACGTTGAATTTTTCTGTGCAAGTGCCCAAGATGATAAACAATAAGTTTAACCTGTTTTAAAGATGCGCTGTAACTATTATTTAATTTTACTTTCAAAGACAGATAAAAGTAGGTAGAAGTAGGTTTAAATACCCAGGTAGTTAATATAGCTACGTAGGTAGAAATAGTCTTTGGACTGGACCTGTATACAGTAAGATCAATATAGTATTCATGACTATGACAATAAACTGTTTTCGCTTTAATCACATGAATAACTGAAGAATAACCTACCTCTCGACATCTTTCTTTAATATTTCTATACGTTCGGCCGATCGGAAACATGATATACATATGCCTCGATCGTGAGCATCCTTCTTAATTTGCTCCCCGATGCATGTCTCGACCAATCGTATACGATCTGCTGTTAACTTCAACTTCTTGTTAGAGAACTTAAGACATCTTTCAGTTCCATCACTGTTTTTGACAGTTTGTACAAAACGAAACCAACAAATAATACAAAAATTGTCAATGAAGTATATTTTCTGTGGTGTCACCCAGCGGACAATGGGTGTCGCCATATTCTGAATCAACTATTTTATCTCCTATTGAAGAGTTCCAAAAGACTTTACGAAAAAGAGAAAGCTCTCCTCCGATTGGTCAGATGTAAAGGTCGTGTGAAGATGACCTCCTTGCGATGCCTGTCAGACCCTGACGAGTGAAAGGAGAAGGGGGGCTGGTTTTAATCAGACTGTGTTTAAACTTATTGTATTTAAAATGTCAGGATCAAGTTCTTAATCAAGGTGACTTACCTCTCGATATCGCCTAATTCTTCTCTCCTCCTTCTCTTGGAGGAGTTCCCATATGTTGGGTCTTTCATCTCTTCCGATTGCATCATAGAAATCTGAAAAAAAGAAATGAAAATGTTCATGAGGATGCATCAGGTGTTCAACCTTTCCAGGCCTTATCCATGTTATCATCAATTTAATTAAATATTATATGAACTTTCATTATGATTTGCCAGTTGCAAACACTAATGTTTCACCAGCAAAGGTAAAAAAATGTGTGTTGCCAGTTAACTCAGTTTGCAACTATTAAATCACCATGAACGGTAACAATAAGTAACAAAATGGAATACTTAGGAATTCCCTAAATTTAGTGAAATTTTGTGATCTCGAGTGTTTAACAAGAGGCTCAGAATCCACATTATGATCATCTGATTTACTATAGCCCTGCTGTTCTTCGATCATCATATATAAATATTGCACGTAGTTGAGTGTAACATTGAAAAATTTTCACCCCAAGAAAAATGGTTTTCTTGGGGTGAAAATTTTCAATGTTACACTCAACTACATGTAATATTTATTATATTAAACTTAATGTTTCATACAATACATATAACAGTGAACCTTGCGCGCATAAATTCTGCGCAGTCGCTATTTTTTGGAATATCACCCGTCGTCAAGAAATGTTGACTGTTGCTACGCTGGAGGGCTTGGCTTTATTATTCAGTGGGTAAAAGTGTTTTTTAACAAATGTTTCTCGACGAATCAGATTCAACTAATTTACATGAAAGTATAATATTCAAAAATATGCCCTGTAATTGAAGATTCAGGGGTATATAGTTTTTGCCCTGTCCATCTGTCAATCTGTTTGTCCGCAAAAACTTTAATCTTGCCTTTAACTTTGATATGTTGGAGCTGACTTGCTTCCATATTTGTATTCCTAATTATGATTAAAAATATGTTTCACCTTTTTAGACCAGCAGTTCTCTAGAAGAAGAATTTTAAAAGATGCCAGAATCTTTTTTTTAGTTGTTGATTATCTCCCCTTGGAAGAGGGTGTGGCCATTAATTTGAAACAAGGATGCTTTGTCCAAAGTTTGGTTGAAATTTGTCCCGTGTTTTATGAAAGAAATCTTAAAAGTGAAAAGTTCATAACATAAATCATGACAAATTTTGATCAGAAAAGCTCATTTGAGTTTTCATCTTAGGTCTGCCAGCTAATCATTTCTAGCAGTGTCATGTCATAGTTCAACTATTAATTTTCACAGTTGTTACAGCAAAACATTTGTTCACCATGTTCACTATTCAAAGTTTTTTTTTTTTTTTTTTTTTTTTTATTCTTCAATCACACAAATTATAAATACAAACAGTCACAGTTATATTAAGAAAAAAAAATGTGTGAAAGAATTTTATTTTTGGGAGGATTAAGAAAAGATAGAAAAGAAGAAGGGGGAAGATGGAGAGGAAAGAGGGATGAGAAAGGAGGGGCACTGAACCTTCAAAAAATTAATAAAAATTGATTTTTGAATCCTTACAATTTTTCAACAATTTCCTGCCAGTGTCTTGTAAATTCCTCAAATTTACAGTTTTTTAACAGTAAAAACTTTTCAACTCTAATTCTGTCAGTAATTACATGTTTTAATTCCTCAATGCTTAATTTTATTGGATTTTTGAACTTACTCGAAAAAATATACTGTTTGATAGTCATAATAAGGAGATTTTCAAACTTGTATTGTTCTCTGTTTGTAAATTTACCAAACAAGATTGATTTCTTATCGAAACAAACTAACCGGTTTAGTTTATTCAAAATCCATTCTTCAATTTCCAACCAAAGTTCTTTAACACAGAAGCAATCAACGAAAAGATGATCAATAGTTTCAATATCAGTATCACAGAAGGAACACAATGGTGACGGGTAATACATTCAAAAGGAATGTATTACCCGTCTTATCCAACTTGCCTTCAATGATGTAACAAATTCTTTATAATCTATCATCTTTAGACCACCATATCTGTAGTCTTGAATTATAACATTTTTCTTAATTTTATGATTCTTCTTATTCCAAAGGAAATTATACAAGTCTTTTTCAAAAGCACTTATTACTTCTTCACTGGGATTTGGTAATGTTAGGATTAGATGGTTTAGTTTAGGAATTAATAATGTTTTTATTACAGTCAATCTTCCAAGAGGAGTGAGCTTTCTAGCTTTCCATTGTATCATGGCTTTCTTAATCTTTTCTATTTTTAATTTATAATTCATTTCTACCATTCCATCCAGATTAATAGAAAACTGAACCCCTAATAAATCGAAGGTTGTATTATTTGGATCAAACTTCCATCTGGAGTGATGAAACACTTCTTTTGAAAATTTCTTGCTTCCAATCCAGATCAGTTTTGTTTTTGTAAAATTTATCTTTAATCCTGAAATTGCAGCAAAATAATCTAATACTCTTGTAATTCCATCTAATGAGCTTGGAGAACCATCAGAAATAACAGAAGTGTCATCTGCATATTGTGATAACTTATACTCTTCACCATCAATGGTTATACCTTTTATGTCTTTATTTTTTCTAATCAAAATACCTAATATCTCTGCACAGAGTAAAAACAAGTAAGGGGAAATAGGATCCCCTTGTCTACAACCTCTCCCAGGACAGAAATATTTGGACACAATCCCATTTTGAATAAAACATGATTTGATATTGCTATAGAAAGATTTTATCCAATTTCTAATTGATATACCAAAATTAAAAAAACATAATGTTTGGTGTATAAAATTCCATGAAATTGTATCAAATGCTTTTTCAAAGTCAATAAACATTAGAAGACCAGGTATTTTTCTTAATTCAGCTTGATGCATGATATCGTATATTAATCTAATATTTTCTCCAATAAATCTGCCTTTGATAAACCCAGTTTGGTCTCCATGTATTAACTTATCTAAGAAAATTTTTATTCTTTCAGCAATACATCCAGATGCTAATTTGTATACAACATTCAAGAGACTTATAGGACGCCAGTTTTTTAAAAATTGTCGTGGTTTTCCAGTTTTTGGAATACAAGTTATTACACCTAGTTTGTTGGATTCAGAGAAACTTTGTTTTACGTACGAGTCATTTATTGCACGCGTCACAAATGTGCCAATATCTATCCAAAAAAATTTAAAGAATTCACAAGTAAATCCATCTGGACCTGGGCTTTTATCATTCTTCATTTGTTTAAGACAATTAAGTACCTCCTTTTTTGTTACAGGGCCCTCTGTACTTTGAGATTCCTCTAAGGATAACTTTGGGATATCCTTATATTCTGCTAGTTTTTCACTATAATTTTCATTCTCTAAAATATCTCTTTTTTTTATATAGATTTTCATAGAATAATTTAGTTTCATTCAAAATGTCATACTGTTCAGAAACAATAGTACCATTTTCTTTTTCTATTCTTGGTATCTGTTTACTTATATAGTTTCTAGATTCCAACTGACTAAAATATTTGGTTGGTTTTTCTCCTTCATCAATCCATTTCATTCGAGATCGAATAACCTGTCCCTTCAATCTAGTCTTATGTATACCTTCAAGTTCTGATTGCTTCTTTGTAAGGGTTGCGAGTAAATTTTCCGTCAGATTTTGTTCTAAATATAGAATCTCTTTTTCTAAATTTAATTCTCTTTCGATCATCTTTTTTTTCTTATATGTTGAATAAGAAATAGTCTTTCCTCTAATTTCCATAAGTAAAATATCTAAAAATAACTGGTCATTGACAGTAAAAAATAAGAATTCATTATTGATACTACTAAGATTGACCATGTTGTATACTGGGCAAGCATACTGAGTTTTCACTTCATTTATTTTTTCCTTTATCAGTTTTAAATAATCCTTATCTGTTAAAAGGGAATTGTTAAACTTCCAAAAACCTTTGCCTTTTACAAAGTTATTTATCTTTATGGACATTACAACTGGGGAATGGTCTGATCTGTAACTATTTTCATATTGAATACAAGTAGCAGAAGGGACCAATGATTCAGAGATAAGAAAAAAATCAAGTCTAGCCTGTTTTAAAGGCGTCTTTCTCCTACAAAAATAGCGTCTAACTTGTGTATAGTTTTCACGAAACACATCTTTTAAATTTAACTTTTCCATTAAATTCATAACTTCCAATCTTGCTTTGGGATTATTTAAATTTTTATAGTTCATGGAATCTATTTCTTTATCTAGAACTAAATTAAAGTCCCCTGCCATGATAATTTCCTGATTTGTATATAAATTTTCTATCTCATTCATCAGATTAGAATAGAAAACTGGTGTATCTGAATTAGGTCCATAGATATTAACTAATATAAATTGTACACCCTCAATAGCACAGTCTATAACTAAATAATTACCATTTTCATCATTTAAGTGTCTGTGAATATCTATTTCACAGTTATTATTAAACAGTATTGCTACTCCACGTGAATTTGACTTAAAAGAACTAAAAAAAGCCTGACAGCCCCACTGTGCTTGAATAATTTTTTCATCATCACTTATAAAATGAGTATCTTGTAGAAAATAAACATTACAATTCTTTTTTCAACACTGTGCCGGATAAATCTGCCACCTCCAAAGTGGCAAATTGGCACCCGCCAAACATTCAATTTTCAGCAAATTCAAAGATGTCATCTGATAGACCTTGATGTACAGACTTCATATCTACCTTTTGCAAGTGTGTATCTCACCTGTCAGGTGAGAGACTCACCTTTGATTTAAAAAATCCCTTGGGAGAAAAAAATATCCTGTAGGAATAAAAAAATCCCTAGGGATTTACATGAAATCCTGCAGGATTCTGAAAAATCCTATTGGAATTTTGTCAAATCCTACAGGATTTATTTTTCCCAAGGGAATTATACTTTTCCTGTAGGAAATTGTAATCCTACAGGAGCTCTCAAAAATCCTACAGGAATAAATATTCCCTTGGGAAGTTTTATAATCCTATAGGATTTAAGTTCTTTACACATTTTTCCTATAGGAATTGACCCAAACTTAACTGATTTTTAGGTACTCCTAAGGGAGAAAAAAATCCTGTAGGAATTTTTTAAATAGAAAATAATTTCCTGTGGGAAATAAAAATCCTAAAGGATATTTTCAAAATTATGCGTATTTTTCTATGTCCAAGGCAACTTAATCCCAAAATTTTGTTAATGTTGCAGTTTTTCATTTTTATAACAGTGCCTGGCCATAATCGAGACATAATTTTATTTTTCCACTATCTGTTTAATTGAAATATGCAATTTAAAAAATATATATACATTGCAATGTTAATTGTGTCTTAATTGCTAAATACTCTGAAAGTGTAGATTTCTTTGCAGTTGTTTTATACGTCAAAATAATTTTATCTTTAGCATTTTCAGTTATATCATCAATCAAATGCAAAATCAAAATTTTAATTTATTAAGAAGTCATAGTAAATTGAGGAGGTAAAAAATTTTTCCTTGATGATTTCATAAATCATTATCATTCATTGTGTTTCATTTTAAGACAAAAGAAAGCAATTTTGGATGATTAAGTGGAAAAAAAAATAGAAATTGAGCTATCATTATTATCTGATTTATAAAAATTATATTTTCAATAAAATATAAAGTTAAAATGCAATTGTGAGTCGCTTATGGCCACATACTGTACTTTGAATACTGTCCTTTTGGGCTTCTTAATATTGACCTTGTGGTACTTTATGAATACGATTTCCGTTAGACTACTAGAATTATACACTTGTATCTGTCATCCTGTCATCCTCAAACCTGTTTCTCATTGCAGGAGTGTTTTACTAATCCAAATTTTTAACTAAAATCATCATGAATTCAGAATGACATTCAGATTGCTTGTCTGACGGTGTAATAACAGGAAATAAGTTTCGGTCGGTAAATGATGATTATTCTGCAACCTTGCTTTTTCCGGATTAAAACTGTAATCAGTTCATGATATTAGCTACGGGAGACACAAAAGTTCAAATTTCCTTGACAAGAAAAAGGTCTTTGAGGGGGCAAAGGCATATAGTAGCTATTTTTCCTATAGTATTCTTTTTACCAGCAAAAATGGAAAGGGGGGGGGGGGGGTAGACAACTTCATCATATTTTCTATTATGCTGTTCACACTTCTTATAGCTTTGTTTTCTACAAAATGCATTTATTAATGAAATATTCAATCTTTATAGTTCCTGGTCTTTCTGACCAAAATATTTAAACTTCATACTTTCTGATCTTTCTGTGTTTCAAAATGGATGTAACCTTGTAATGATCATAATACTTTTTAGACACGTAAGTGCAATATTTTCAAATTTCCCTAAATATACGCCAATAAATCACCAATGATTTTGGCAACAAGCAGACATATATAAAGAATCCCTTTTAACTGAAACTGAAATGAAAGATGAAAATGGTATGATTTTATCTATATTTATTGATTCACTTTCATGTCATTCTAAAAAAAAAAAAAGTCCATTGGCATCTATCCTTTTCACATAATCAAGCTGGGAGGTTCCTAACATGTGCAGGCTTTACAACTTCCACATAGCTATCACACACATACTTCACTCTGTAACCTGTGGAATAGATTAATATTTTATAATTTAGAAAGGTTAGACTTGGTCCAAGTAAGAGAGGTATATCTAGTAATTACAGAGATTTATAGAAGAGTACCTATATTGTACAAATTGAAGAATTTATTTCAATAAAAAAATTATTGCATGAGTAACCACCAAACAAATGAAAGTTGAAAGTTGAGTTTTTAAATAACTTTATCTAGTATTGTATGCTTTAACTGTATAAATGTTTAACCGATAGTACAAGTCAGTGCATTTTGTTTAAGACTATGTCAGCTACAGATAGAAAAAGGGTTTGCCAAGTAGTTATGACATACTTTTTTTTTTTTCTTTTTTTTTTAGAAATTATTAATAAAAGATACCTTCTGGGTTCTTCCTTTTCCCCAAAACCTTTGCCCTGTACCATGTTTTCTCAGGAGAGTAGAAGGCCTCCACTTCATCCCCTTTACTAAATGTGACCTGAAACATAGAAAACACAATGGAATTTCTTCTATAAATTGTCTTCCTTTTTGTCTTGATTTAATTGTGATCTATAATATTATCATTATCACCATTATTATCTTATCATTAATAATTAGTTCATTACAAAGTGACCTTGCGAGTTTTTAATACGCTTACATATTTCACTCGATCAAATATCTGCAAGGTTTTCTATTTTATGCCATATAATATATATAAAAACCTTTGAAGTTTCTGTCAACATTCAGTCTGAAATGTTTCTATCCTAATTATCCTGAATCATTAAGCATCAAGTAGGATAAAATATATGTTAAAGCTTAAATTAAAAAATATATATATGCTTACAACAGATTCTGTCTGAATGGATTCTTCTTGGATCCTTTCAAGTACAACCCATGCATTCTGCAACTAAACATAAAGGATTATTAATTTGATGATCATAACTTATACAAAATGCATATAAGATCTTCAAACTTCCATAAAAAATTATCAAATACTGTTACCAGTTCTTATCTAGTTATATACAAAACTTTCTTGATTGGTAAAATATAAGGGTCAAAAGATTTTTAGTTCACCTGAGGTGAAGGCTCAAGTGTCATTCCTTACAGGAGTGGGTCAGGGTCCTGTCATTTGTAAACTTGCGTAATTTCAACTTTGAAAGAAGCATTGGGTTAATTTCAAAAGAACTTGCCACAATGCACCTTTGGTGAATGGTATTTTTTAATTTTGTTTAAACAAATGATCAGACACAGTTTCAAGGGGAGATAATTATGAATTGATGAAAATTTAAGGTCATCTTTTAAAATAAGATTCTCTTACAGATAAACAGTACACCGGAAAAGCTAAGCATGTGAAAGTTTTATTAAAATTTAAATAGTACAGATTTTAGTTTGTTTAAATTGGGAAAGGGGGGGGGGTACAATGGGCAATCAAAGTTTTAGATAGGAAGATTTTTTTTTAAATCTCAACAACAAAGCTGAGACCCAGGTATGCAGGAAGAATATCAAGTTTGTCTGTTTTAGATCAACAAAGGTTCAGTTATACAAGCATTCTCATGGAAAGTAAAATCAGATTTGTTCAAATTTAGACCCATAGGACTAGGGTGGGGCCACAGTTTTAAATAGGAAAAATTACAACAACAAAAAAAAATCTTTTCAAGAACAGCAAAGTCATAGGTAGTCATATTTCTAGGTAAGCATCCTCTTGTTATGAAGACTAAAGTTTGTTCAAATCATGAACCCTTCCCCTGTCTCTATAAAGGGGGAGGGGGTTATTTATTAAAAGTTTTCAATACTCAACTAATTTCTGCTTTCAGCAAGTCAAAGTGCTTAGTTGAGTGATGTTGTTCATGGGTGGGCCTTTTACTGCCAAGAAAGCAAGGTTACTGTCTTTTTTTTTTTTTCTTTTTTTTCCATGTATGACTAGCCCTCTCCTTGGTCTATAAATATACAAGATGCATTTTTAACAAAAAAAAATTTTTTTTGTTCAAACGACAATAACAAAAAGAAACTTGTCATTGATCCAAAGATTGTGACCAAGGGACACAACTCTTTTAAAAAGTGCGAATTTATTCCGGATAAAATCTTATTTTAATGTGACTTTTACCTATGTATATCCGGAATGAGACAAGATGAATGAGCACAGTCACAGAACAACACCAACAAGGCCAGAAGTAAAAGACGGTAGTGATCCTTGCCAGTTGGGGATAAACTATGAAAGATTGTATCGTGCAACATGCACGGATATGGACAGAAATGCATGAACGAATTAAAGTTAACTAGAATCCCCCACAAGGCATAGCGCATTTTGCAGATACTGGTCAGTAGATCATTTCCTATTGATCAGCACTACCTGACTTGCATTAAAGAAGATTAAATATGAATTAATGTCGAAAATAACGCTATCCAATGATTGTGAACAGGAGTAGGTAGGATGGTTAGCTTCCTTTTTCCCCTCCTTATGCACATAATTTTTATTATTTTAAGAGTCGTAAAATAAGCATTGAAACATGCTATCATGAATATCTTGTCATAATTAATTCTCATAGACTAATATAAAAATATCTATTCAAGGGAGGAATATTGCTATAGATAACTCTAAAAATGAATTTTGCTTGTGATTTTTTTTCAAATATCCCTTAAACATAAATAAATACTTCATAGTTTTAACTAGGCAAACTATGATCCCCTTTTTTATGCCCCCATAATCGAAGATTTGGGGGTACATGTATATACTTTTTGTCCTGTCCATCCATCTGTCTGTGTGTATGTCCAAAAAACTTTTACATTGCCCATAAATTTTGAGTGGATGGGGCTATGGCTTTCATATTTTGCAGGTGTATTCCTTGTGACAAGACTTTTCTTAGGGTACCATTATATTTGACCTCCTGACATTGACCTTAGAGTTTGAACCACTTTTACCAAAATTTTTCGAATTTTAATATTGCTCATAACTTTTGAATAGTTGGTGCTAGGGCTTTCATACGAGTATTCCTTGTGGCAAGACCCTTCAAAGGGTATAAATATTTTGACCTTTTGACCTTGATCTTAGAGATCAACCTACTTTTAAAAAAACTTGAACCTTGGTCATAACTTTTGAACAGTTAGTACTAGGGCTTTCATATTTCACAGATATATTCCTTGTGTGAAGATCTTCCGTTGGATACCAACAATTTTGACCTTGGAGTTTGACCTGCATTTGAGAAACTTCAACCCTCACTATAAGCTGCAATACGGGTGCATCAGTGTTTCACAAACACATCTTTTTTTTGTTTAGCTAGTAGGGCCAAGCATTTACTTGAAATCACGTAATAATAAGTTAAAGATAAATCCTACAGGATTTAATTCAAATTTCCTATAGGAATATTTTTCCTATAGGATATTTATTTCCTAAGGGAAATATAAAATCCCTTAGGAAAATTATTTTCTCCTGTAGGATTTTATTTTCCTGCAGGGAAATTTTTAGTTCCCATGGGAAAATTATTTCCCTTAGGAAAGTTAAATCTCCCCTGGGAAAACTAATTCCTGTAGGATTTGACTAAAATCCAATAGGATTTTTCAGAATCCTGCAGGATTTCATCTAAATCCCTAAGGATTTTTTTTTTATTCCTACAGGATATTTTTTTCTCCCAAGGGATTTTTTTACTCAAAGGTGAGTCTCTCACCTGACAGGTGAGATACACACTTGCAAAAGGTAGATATGAAGTCTGTACATCAAGGTCTATCGGATGACATCTTTGAATTTGCCGAAAATTGAATGTTTGGCGGGTGCCAATTTGCCACTTTGGAGGTGGCAGATTTATCCGGCACCGTGTTTTTCTTAGAGTATTAAAAACATCTAATCTTTCATTTTTATCTCCGAGACCTTGGCAGTTAACTGTGAGTATTTTTAAATGGTTTTCTTTAATCGTATCCATACAGGAACATCAACAAAGAATCAAAATAGTGCCCGTAGTGAAGAAAGAGAAGGAAAGAGATGAATACAAAAAAGAAAAAAAATGTTGCATATTTACACAAACAAAAGGCTAAAGCTAACGCCAGCCGATTGAACATATCTCCTAATGGAGAAAAGGAATAAGTCAATCTGTATTTACCTCAAAAAAGCAATGGTAATTCCCAAAACAATTACTATCGGAAACGAATATTGCCGAGTAAAACATGAGTATGTATGGTTAACGTATGTTTTCCCGGAAAGTTAATAAATGCAATAGTCTAAAAAAAATATTCTTAAAAGAAGAAAAAAAAAAAGAGATAAGGATGGAAAAATAGAAATTTCACTTTTACATATTGTACAAGATTTCTATTTAACTGTTGTTTTTTTTCAATGTAAAATATTTAGTAAGTGTGTCTAACCGCTTTTTTGACAAGTTCACTCATAATTTCAAAGCGACGGGGTCCCAAATGCCTGCCATTTTTCCTCGAAATAATAATTGCCGTATTTGATGCTTCCGCATTAACAAGTACCTTCAGCATTCGACGCCCGGCTCCATACTCCCCGTTGTCACAGTAACCATCGTGAACTCGCCCCTGTGCATCTTTGAACCTATACACTAAAATTTTATGATTAGCACAAGCATAATCTGGATTGCGCAAGACGTTTTTGTACAAGTTCCTAACTTGTGCATAGGTTTGAATTTCTGCAACCAACGATGTAAAGACATTCCCATCCTCTGTAACCGTATCACTCTTATTAACCTCAACTTCTTCTAGTTTCTCAATTTCTTCTCTGTCGAGCATCAGGAGGTCCTCGGCTCTTGGTGGTAGAACCTTATCCCGATACACAGATCCATTCGGGAATACGAGCTTGTTCCCCACAATCTTTGTTTTCACATTTTCCTCTCTATACTTAGCATTCATCTCTTGCAGTTTCTTTTTATTTTCATTAATTTGCAGAGGAGTCTGCGGTGTGATATAAAACGGCATGTTGTCAGTGGTGCCATCTTCCCTCTTTTGGTGCATCGCTTGGAGAATAAGATCTTTGTCACTATAATTATATAATTTCCCCGTAATTGACCTAGGCCTTGAGTTTCCCGTTGATCTCTGACCGTTTCTGTGAATCCTAATAAAGCTAACATCCAAATTTAAATGCTCTTTGATCAGCTCACTCACTTTTGTACTTAGATCTTCCTGCTCTTCCTCAGCTAAATTATGCACAAGGATATTGTCCCTCATGGATCTACCTCTAAGGTCCACTATTTCATTCTCCTGGTGGCTGACCCTTCTATCTAGATTGATTACGATAGATTTTAAGACCTCGAGTTCTTTTCGCAAATAATTATTTTCCAATCTCAAAGTTTCAATTTCTCCAACATTATCCTCGTGCTGTTGGCCAATGTATTTAATACGATCGTCTAGGCCATCTTCATCCCATAGATCTCTGTTCATGTTATTTACAGATTGTTGCAAAATGTTTATACTGTCCAATTTACCGGTAATTGTCCGAAGGCTATCGTGGATAGCGGACATCTAAAGTGACGCCCCACTGACTTCTGACGAGAGGGTAGGATTACTGCGTGAACTGTTCT